GCAGGGCGGGGGCAAAGCCAACCGCCCCCCACTGCGCATGCGCCCCGCCGCCGCGCCCCGCTATTGCGCATGCCTACGAGAGCCACCGCAGGCCCCGCGAGCGCCGGGACGCGCGGGGCGCACTGATTGGCTGGCGCCGCAGGGCGTGCTTTTGAAACGGGACAATGAGCGGCGAGGCGCGGGCGCGCGCTGCGCGGGGGCGTGGCCTGCGCGGGCCGCGAGTTCAAGTCCCGCGTCACGCGTGGGTGCTTTGGGTGGGTGTTGTGCATCCTCTGCCGCGTGTGGGCGCTCTCCCTTCTAGCGTTTTTATCAGCTGTTCCCAAGCTTTGTTTTGCTGCTGAACCATGAGCTTTTTTTTTTTCCTTTAAATAAGTTAACAGAAATCTGGTATAAAGTTCATGGAAACACACAATACCAGCTCGTGGCTGTGTTTTTAGAGTGACCTTTGGAATCCAATTCCCTTGATCAAAGTATGTAAGTTTGTAATTTTGTGCCTATTGATTTTTAACAGGCTAATGCCTTTCTTCAGTAATGGGTAGAATTTATGTTTTTTTTTTTTTTTCATCCAGGGTTCTTCAGGAACAGTCTCAGATTTCAAAAGTTTTACATTTTCTTGGGGGAAAGTGCAGTAGATGTCCCCCAGTGCTAGCTATAGAAGGGACTAAGTCAGAAGAGTTTTTCACCTTTTCAGCTTTCTTAAATAAGAACATTGCTGAACCAATTATTCTCTTTATTTATGTCTGATCATTTAACGTATCCAAGATAACGGAGCCAATTGCTGCCTATACAACTTTGCTGTTTGTTATGGCACCTGTTTGTATTGCTTTGGTTACTCAAAGCTAATGTGAGAGCATTCCATTGCTTCCACAATCAGATTTTTTCCATGTTCCACTTTCTGTATTTGTCATTAACTGCTTATTTTTGTTGATGCTTACATTTCTGGCATTATACTGATAATAAAGAACTCTGTGCCTATTATGTATCTGAGACTTCTTAAGAGGTCTTCATAGGTAACATTTTAAAAATGCTAGGCTTTTTCTCAGAATTTTACATTCATATCCAAAAACCTGGAGACACAATTCAAATTTGTATTATTACAGAAGGAAAGCCTTTTATAGACCAATGTCACTGTTTACATAGTGCATTATTGTAGCCATTAATGACACATTCCTGTGGGATGATACAGAATTCCCATCACCTTCAAAGATAAATAAGGTAAATAATATAAAACCTATTTTTTTTCACTAATTATAAGCTTGATTTGTGGGAAAAAGTGGGATCTGGTACTGCAAGAGCTTGAAAAATGTTTATCGCTTTCTACTGCCATCTATTCACTGCAAGCAACAGCATCCTTGCACTCTGATTTTTAATACAGAACCTGCACTATTCTTTTTGTTAAATATTTCAGCACAAACATTTCATATGGCAGCTAGATGCCTGCCAAGAGGCAATTCAATTGACAGTATCTAGCAAAACACCTAGCCCTGAAGGGAATGGAAGCTGGCATATTAATGCAAAAGCCACCTGCAAAATACAACGACATCAACCAAGCCATTGTGCGAATTTTGGTATTTATTATTGTTGCAGAGCTACCGTATTATGTCCTGTTGCCATAGACAGCAAAAAGCTTCAAGTTCTCCTTGGAAAGAAGCCAACTTGATCCAAAATGTGGCTGAGAGCACAGAAAATATCAGCTCTGTGGMCACAAATTTTGCAGTGCCAGACATCACCCTGTCATCTTGTTACCTGACTAGGGGGTTATTAGAACCATATTGGAAATGTGTGTTTATGTAAGAGCAAGGAGGGAATGTCAGGGTGACTGTCCRAGGCCCTGGGGAAACGGGGAATGGGCTGAACGGAGCTGTGCTAGGGAACAGAATCAGGTGAAAGATGAAAATGAGGAAATCAAACCCAAAATCTGGCTGAGGGAAACTGTGCAAATGGCCATGGGAACAAAGATTAAGAAAGAATATGAAAACAGCCCTAGGAGAATATGGCCTGGAGGAGAAAAAACATCTATAATCTACTCTTTTTTTTCAGTTATTTTTATTCTGAAAGGCTGCCAGGAGTACTCACCTAAACTGGAAACTGATGCAGAGATGTCGGAACCTGCAGGGACCCAGCAGCTGTATTGCTGAGAACTGTCAATGACTTCATTCATCTTGGCAAAGCATTAACTCGGATGCTTAGCTGTGGATATTTAAATGTCAGCATTTTAGCACTTAGCAAGAGAGCAGTTATATGCATATTTTTAGACACCTGCAATATTTACCTCTAAACTTCATATGACTAATATAAGCAGAGCTTTGTTTGAAATATAATTTGAAAGGAAAAAAATCATTCTCCTTTTTTCTCCTCATGGCTCTCAATAGAGACACACATATCGAAGTAGTTTAATTCATGAGTTCTCATGAAACATGAGTAAATCCAGCAATAAAATAGACGTATTTTTCTCATAAAACAAAAAATACTGCAAAAGTCAAACGCAGAAGTAAAAAATGCGGAGATATTACACAGAAGGGCGCTTCCTCATCAGTGGCAGATACCCGCAGCTGTTGGCACGTCCTCCCGCTGTGGTGCAAGGCTCCCTGTGGGTATCGGCGACCTGGGCGCCGCCTCAGCGCAACGGCCGCGGGAGCCGTTGAGCTGCTCCGCGCACGCGCCGCGCCGGGGCTCCCCGCGGCGCATGCGCGCGGGGCGCGGGCGGTGGGAGCGCGGCCCGAG